ATACGAAAGCCTGGGCTGGATGAATCACAAGCTGGAATCAAGATTGCCAGGAGAAACATCAACAATCTCAGATGTACAGATGATTCCACTCAAATGACAGAAAGTAAAGAGGAACAAAAAAGCCTCTTAATGAGGGTGAAAGAGGAGAGTGAAAAACTTGACTTAAAACTCAACATTCAAAAAACTAAGATCATGGCATCTGGTCCCATTACTTCATGGCAAACAGATGGGGAAACAATGGAAACAGCGACAGACTTTTATTTTGGGGGGCTCCAAAATGACTGTAGATTGTGACTGCAGCCATGAAATTAAAAGACACTTTCTCCTTTGAAACAAAGTTATGACCAACCTAGACAGCATATTAAAAAGCAGAGACAGTACTATGCCCACAAAGGTCCGTCTAGTCAAAGTTATGGTTTTTCCCAGTAGTCACGTATGGATGTGAGAGTTGGGACTATATAAAGAAAGCTGAGCACCAAAGAATTGATGCTTCTGAATTGTGATGTTGCAGGAGACTCTTGAGAGTCCCTTGGACAACAAGGAGATCCAACCAGTCTATCCTAAAGGAAATCAGTCCTGAATATTCAATGGAAGGACTGACGCTGAAGCTGAAACTCCAGTACTTTGGCCACCTGATGAAAAGACCTGACTCATCTGAAAAGACCCTGATGTTGGGAAAGATTGAAGGCGGGAGGAGTAGCGGACGACACAGGATGAGATGGTTGGATGGCATCACCGACTCAATGGACATGAGTTTGAGAAAGCTCTGGGAATTGGTGATGGACAGGGAGGCCTGGTGTGCTGCAGTCCACGGGGTCACAAAGAGTTGGACATGACTGAGCAACTGAACTGAACTGGGAGTAATAATCTACTTTGTTAGAGAGGGATCCTCTAAGTTACAGTGAGAGATAAGCCTCAATGCTAGAGGAGGGAAGGAGCAGGGGAAGATCTCACCATTGCAGATACAGACTCTTAACTTAATCTCTGTTATTTTCAGCCTGGGCATCTTACTTCTACTCTTGTGTTCAGCATCTTCAAGTCCGGAAACCCCCTAGTTTGTTGTTTTCAGAAAATAATTATCCCATTTCATTTGCCTTTTGCACAAACCACCTCTGGTTTTCATGTTTTAGCCTTGACTAGATTATGCTGGCAACTCAGCTCACACTTTATACACATTTTTATTGCCTCCCACAATGGTGGCACTAAAGTGCCTGTCAGTAAATACTGTGTGATGGGTTTTGTTATAAATAAAATGCTATTACTAATAATTGTAACTTAAAACCATGGTTTGTCAGTTATTGTTTTATGACAAAACCAAAATTGGTTTTCATACAAGTTGTTGAAATGAAAGATCAGGTAATGATACAACTGAGGAAGTCATGATTAAATGAGCTCCATAAGGTCACAGTTCATCTGTGACAGGCTTGGAAAATAATTTCTACTTTTACATAGCCTGTCAAGTAATTTATTATAAGAACTTAAAAAGAAAACTATCTTTTCTTGGCATTTTAAAATTGTATCAGAAAATGTCAAACAAATATAGAATGAAATCAGGGTAAAGATGACTATATCATACTTCTATAGTTGAATGTATATATGTGATTTAAACAATTTAACCTAAAATCAATATACATGAAGCTAAATCTATCTTAATAATTATATTCCTTTTAACTACTTATGTAGTAATCTGAAAACATGAATGTGACTTAAAGAACAATTTAAGGAATTAAAAATTTTCACCTCAGCAGTGTACAATTTAATAGCACATTAATGCTGAAACTATTATTCCCTAAGAATAGTTTGGAAAATCGATTAAGAAATTCAAAGCAGGAAATTATTAAACATTTTCTCAAAATAATTTTAGGAGACCATAAAAACAGTGAGAAATATATGTGATAGCTAGTAAAACTACAACTCTAAATTATATCTCACTTTTTATTCATTTCAAACTAGGAATAGGTACAGTCTGAAAAACCAACTTCAAAAGACAATTTCATAAAGAATGTATGTATAGGTAAGTCTAGATTTATAAACTGTTCTGAATTTACAAGCAGAAGGAATTAGTTTTTAAATGGTACAATTTATGTGTCACTGAATCAACAACATGAACTTAGCTTTGATATTAAAGATACCTATTTAAAAAAAACCATTCATCAGAGGGAAAAATCCAGGCTCAGATTGCATCTTCTGAAATTCTTTATGTTGTTGTAGATGCCTTGCTAAATCCTGAACAATTGAAACTTTGGAAGAAATAAGGATCCCTTGAAAAGAAGATAACCATGAGAAACTCCATATAGCCTAAATTTGTCTCTTTCCTGGGGGAGAGGGGCAGGTGGGGCTAAAAGATTTACATTAGTTAAGGAGTGGCCACAGTCAGAAACTGAAGAGTACAACTATGTTTAGCACCACGATACTGAGGAACTTTTTCCACTTCTTTTCTAAGAGTTACAGAATATTATGTTGTGGTCAACTGCTGCCATTTTAGGGTTAAATACATGGAGAAATTATTAATAAAAATTTAAGCTCATGTTATCTTTAGAGTCACCACACTGGATAATGCACAAAAAAGGGGACCCCCCAGGGAGAATCTGTAGAGATGGTTTGCTTATTTTCCAACTAACAAAAGGTTAAGGGGATCCTTCTGAAAATTTAGCTTGAGCACCAAATTTTTAATTTACTGTCCTACTAGAGATCTTTAAGAATAAGACAAACATATTTTCAGAAGACCTAGCTAATAGTCCTGTCTAGAAACTGAGGAAGTGGGTGGATAATACTAGGAGGTCTTTCAAAGGCCTAGAAGGAGAGGGTGGCATGATTTGAGAGAATAGCACTGAAACATGTATATTACCATAGGTAAAACAGATAACCAGTGTGAGTTTGATGGATGAGGTAGGGTACCCAAAGCTGGTGCTCTGTGACAATCTGAAGGGATAGGATGCAGAGGGAGGTGGTGGGGGTGGGTTCAGGATGGAGGGGACACATGTATACCTATGGCCAATTCTATTGATACATGGCAAAAACCATCATGATATTGTAAAGTAATTATCCTCCAATTAAAATAAATAAATAAATTTTTAAAAATAGGCCCTAATGATGTGGAGACTAACCTGGATTTGTGGGCAGAGAAGGTCAAGTTATTTTGTTGAAATATATCACACCAAAGATGTGCTGATATTAAAAGGTTAATTTAAAGAACATCATATCAATCATAGAAAGAAAGTACAAAATATGACAGAACATAACGATAAGTTCCATTGGAAGTGTTAAAATCAGAGTCATTGGTACAACGGCTTAAGAAATCAGTATTATCAGGTTGCTGTAAATGATGACAGTAATTTTATATATATTCTATCATGCAAATTCATTTTCTGAGTTTAATTAATTCAACAGTGAGGGATATCCCTCTTCATATTCTCCCATACACATGTACACACAAACCTGCTTATTAAATTAAAATACAATAAAGTCTATTTTAAACGTATTGCCTACTGGGATGCTCCACTGCATATTTTAAGATGCCTGACAAGTTCCAACTTACCTGTGCAATGGTAAGGGTGGAGGCCATGAGACACACCTCTTGCTATAGGTGGTAGGCTTGCCCTCCGGTCAAGGAATTTTGAACCAGCTTTTAAAGTGAGTAACAACATTGAGAAGTACAATTTAAGTTGTACTAAGTTTAAAACTTTCTGGTACATATTTTGTATTCAAGTTTTAAAGTTTGATTAAAACTTTTATGAAAACAAATTATGAATTTTTAAATAATTTCATCCTTTTCAACAATATCTTAAGTTTATTTTAAGCACTCTTTTCAACAATATCCTAAGTTCATTTTAAGAAGTTATTATAGTTCTAAATATTAATTCAGCTTTGTAAACAGTCTCTGAAAAGTTCTAATTGTGATGGTTGAGGAGGTAACTAAAGTCACTTTTCTGAGTAAAAGGAGACTAGTTTAAACAAAAAATGAGGAAACACTAGAGTCCACTAAAATGAGAGTCTATACTCACTTAAATAGTAGATTAAGATAAGTTTGTAATCACTACAAATTCAATGTTGTAGATTTATGGATGGAGCCACAGGTCTAAACTTCAAACAAGGGTAGTCAGACCTAAAATATGTAAATCACATTGTAAACCAGTAAGAATTTGAGTTGATACAGGATATTTAATTCCATAAAATAGCTATAATTATGAGTAGTACCGATGTAACTTCAACTACATGTATGAGTAGAATATGACTAATGACTTTTTATCATAAGCAAGTAACATTTTTCCAGGCAGATAGTATTTTTTAAGCCTATTGACACAGCTGAGACATTCGTCCATTAGTTTGTGATCAGTGGACAAGTGATTATTATGTTCTGAATCTAGACCCATTCAACATGAACCTCACCTTGTCCATGCTTTAACAGTCCTATCCCAAAGAACATTACATGATGGAAATGCTCTGTAGCTATATTGTCTACATGATAATACGTGGTGACTGAGCACTTAAAATGTGGGTAGTGCAACTGAGGAACTGAATTTTTAATTTTAATTATTTTAAATTTACATTTAAATAGCCACAGGTGACTACTGGCTACCATATTAAACAGTGCAGCTTAGAGGATTTGAAAAGTTACAGCAAATGTCTTATGTTAGGTCTAATGCTAGTTGGCTTGTCAATTTCCGTAAGCATGCTGTGCACAAATGCTTACAAGAGTGATCAAAAAACTTTTTCTCCCATGGTCTCACCTTCATTCAAAAATATGATTAAATCTATGAAAAAAAATACCATCTGCAAAAATGGTTATTCATGCTTATAGTGTCAGTACAACTATACTCATTAATGAGGCAGCCTGAGTCAATCAAATGTTAGTTCTAGAATGACTAGAATTCAAACTATGAAATACCTGCTCCTGAAAAGTTTATGTCCATTACCTATCATAACACAAGAATACCAATTACTGCATAGTTTTCAGCTCCACTGGTTAAACACTGCGAAAGCATGTCAAGCCTTTTTACCTGACAGACGTATTTGTTCTTCCATTTGCTCAGCACACACTGACTGTTTTGCATCAGCTCCTGAAGGAAACAGAAAAAGAGAGACTGCAGTTGGCTATACACATTGTCGTTATCAGTTAAAGAGCTTCTGATTCGCAAGCAAAAAAAAAAAAAAAATATATATATATATATATATCAGCATGCCACACAAAGATGCAACTGTTTTGGAACTCCTCACTGGACAAAAGCAACACTATCAACACCACGAGAACTGATCCTTTATGACAATTAAGGCTGTTGAAAGATGTTTTAAAACAGATTTGTTCGTTGCCATTTTTGAAACTTTTGGAAAGATACCTCCAACTCCTTGAGTGAGTCTCGAAGTTTTTCTGGGCGTCTGTTTTTGAGCGTCCATGGAAAATCTCGTGCTTGAAAACAAAACATGTACCTCAGTTAGCTGAACATGATTTAAAAAAGAAACTCTGCTGAGCAGTGTGCCTTAGGAAGATTAAAATAAAACACCTCCTTAATTGAAAGGAAGTAGCCTTCATTTCCATCATCAAATGACAGTCTTTGAAAGGCTTTGTCATAGAAACAGTATTTTTACCACAAAACAATCTCCATGATCATAATTTTATGATGACAACTAACAATGCTCAGAGAATCCCTGGGAAAGTTTCCGAAGCTTGTGAACCTAGTATGAAACAGTTAATGATCCACTCTTTACCACAGAAGCAAATTTACTTTCATATAAATAATTTAAAAATTCAATACAAAAGAAATTCTAAACTCTGCAAATAATCTATCAGATCTGAAAACTCCTACAAGTAAATGAATAGTGAGGAAAGAAATAAAATTTTAAAAATAATACACAGCAAATGAATTTAAAATTAAGCATCACACATTAAGGATAAAATTGAGGGAAATCTAAATTTTAATAAATTAGACACCAATAGTGCTCTTTTCTATATAAAATAATTCTCTCTAAAATCTACACAATTCAATAATGATAAGCCTTTGCTTTGTTTTAAAAGTAAATGTTATTTAGTAGAATCTCAATGATAGCCTAAAACAAACTAAAAAGTTCTATTTAAAAGAATTAAAAAATAATAAATTCATTAAATAAATAGGTGATATGACACCTATTTCATCACAAAAATGAATTCATCTCTGAATTTTCCTAAACAATTTTATATGTGTGCACATGTGTTTTATGTGCATATATATGTAGTATAAAATATATATAGACATTAAAATTTTTATAGGAGAATGCTGTTTTATTTAAGCAAATCAATGACTTCTATAAACATAATTTACAATGTGCAGAGCATATGTAAAAAGTTTCAAATCTCTGCCACATGTACTAATACAGTATTTTTAAAAACTAAATGTTAACTTGATCATTTAAAATGAGAACAAGTAGAATATTTAGCCCCGCTTATATTCTAAATAAAACAGTCATATTTTAGCCATATTATACTGTAGCCATATTACATATATAACATGTTTATATATTTGAAATTAGTAAAGACTAGAGAGAATAAAATGTTAATACTGATAATTACAAATCTTATTTTCTTACAATGGTTAAAACAAAATAATAACTTAGGTATGATAAGGATAATAAAATGTTAACAGAACCATGGTACACTTAGTTTAAGTATATTAAATAAGATAAATGCAGTTCATTAAGAAATACATAAGCATATATCTTAGTCATAAGCATATATCATAAGCTTATGCTGTTTACATAAGCACATATCTCACCAAAAGTTGAGAGATTTCACTGGTCTAAATCAGAAATTTCTAACAATATAATTCTTACTCATATGTTTATGCACCTAAACAATAGAAATTTATAAGAAATTTGTAAGGAATAACATTTCCTATTTGTACAGACAGCTTAAAAGATGTTTTAAGACAGAATCTTCAGGGATATTAAAATTCCAGTTTTATAATAATTCAAAAAAATATATAAAGTAAACTTACATTCTGCCAGTCTCTGCTTTTCTTCTAAGTTACCATGATCTGTTGCTGATTTTGCATATGATTAGAAAAAAGACAAAAAGGTAGAAATTACTTTTATTATACTTAATTTTTTATGTGCATATGCACATTATTGAGATTAATAAATTATGCTAAATTTTTTAAAAGGCAGTTGGAAAATGCCATAATTTGGATGTTTTCATTTCATGGAAGACTTCCTAAATTTGAAGTGAAAAGGCTTACACAGCACAACGGGTGGGCCAATATCCTGAGTTTGCAATCTCATCAGATAGGGAAAGGGAACTGCAACTGAGCCCAGAACAGAAGCTACTTCAGTCTGTCATCAGAACCATGAAGTCAGCCTATTAACCACCAAGCTAAGCACATGGGATGCGCACACAAGCTCCAATTCAACAGAGACCAAACAGGAAGTAACTCTAGCTGGGAAGACCTTTTGGCCCATCAAGAAACTTCTGGGATTAACAGGATTAATCAGATAAAGAAAATTGATCATTCACTCAGAAATGCCTATTCCAGATATCAGGTAAGGATCCAGGAGACCAGCATTTGTGGAACCCATGCATTAACAATGCCCTCTACTGGGACAGTGATAAAGAAACGAGAACATACTGTCCAGTTATCAGTTTAATCAGAAGTAAAATGAAAATTTCATGTTCTGCTATAACATTTTCTCAATACTGCTTTATTTTATATAAAACAGATATTAACTTCAGCATTTTTCTAAAGAACTGGAGTAAACTTTCTCGAAATTCTAGAATTTAAAGTACATAAAAACAGAGTTTTTAAGTCAGTATTTTATAATTTAGAATAGTAAGTTTATAAAAATCAGTTTAGTAGAACAGATACTTTACCTGATGGTTCTTTCTTGTCGTAATACTGGTAGGTCCCAATGTCTCTATCTATAGAAAGGAAAAATAACATTAGATTACAGTAAAAAGTTGTGGAGAACGAGAAGCCGACAATTATCCGGACATATGTTCGTCTATTCTAGGGATATGCACGAAATGCAAAGTTTATCAGTCCACTTAGAAAAGAAATATACAAAACTAGAATGGCATGAGGAAAGGAAGGGTAAAGAACTGACGTCAAGGATGACCAACTTTTTTCTCTCAAGCTTCCTCTGATATTTTTCACAGGGCACTACCAAAAGGAACTACCACTAAGCAATACCAAATGAAAGTGGCTAGAAGAATTCTGAGCTATGGCTTTTTTTTATTTTTTCTCTGACTTAACTTGAATCCAGAAGGGTATTTGGGGGAAATCTGCAGAAAAGGAAGGATTAAAGGAAGGTCTGGATAAATTATCTAAAGCTTGTTTAGACTCAGAAACCCTTCTGAACCCATTCAAATTCAGATGCTCTGCTGGGGTTACAAAAGTAAAGCTAGGTTTCCTAAATGCTGAAAGAGATTTAACCATGGAATCTGTCCTTGCAGTTGATTTACAGGAGAATAAAATAACTGTGTCCATTTTCTTCCTATCTGTGAACACTGAAATACTTCTTTCTTTGAGGTAACATTTGCTTCCTTCCATGAAAAATAATCCGAGTTACTAACAAAAGGATACAACTATTTCTAAAGTGGAAGCAGTACAGGCTGCCCCCTAGTGACTGACTGCTCTGAACTTTCTCAAACTGAAGGATAAAACTCCTCCCCAAAAAGCTATAATTAACTTCTCCAATACAGTTTTTCAAAATAGTCAATCGTGTATACTTACTGAAGTTCCATTTTTTTCATTATGCCACTAATTGAGACATATAATTTAAAGAGTGCAGTTTATTTCTGTTGGTTATATTGACAGTCTCTAATAAGGAATGCCAGGGAAAGGTCACGGGTCAGGCTCCTAGGATAATGATCTTTTATTTCTTGACCTAGGTGAAGATTTTATGGCTATGTTCACTCTTTGATAGTTCAAAACATATCTTTGTAATCTTTACACTTTTCAATATACATATAATACTTTAATAAAGTGAGTGAAAATCGCTCAGTTGTTTTCAACTCTTTGTGACCCCATAGACTATACAGTCCATGGAATTCTCCAGGCCAGAATATTGGAGTGGGTAGTCTTTTCATTCTCCAAGGGATCTTCCCAACCCAGGGATAGAACCCAGGTCTCCCACACCGCAGGCGGATTCTTTACCAGCTGAGCCACAAGGGAAGCCCAAGAATATTGGAGTAGGTAGCCTATCCTTTCTCCAGGGAATCTTCCCGACCCAGGAATAACAAAAAGATTCTTGAAAAATAAAATCTAAGAACCATATGCATTATTGTACACAGTCAATATCCTCCAATATTCCATCATTTCATGCATCCAAATATTACAACTCTAGAATAGAACTATGAAGATAACAAGTGGCCATGAATTCTGTGCACAAGTCTGAACTACTGCACTTGGACAAGAGTATGGCTCTTAAAACAAAAGCAGGACAAGATGGGGATACAGAGAATGAGTCTGACATGGTATGTCAGAGCCCTAGCAGGGTGAGAGGGACATTCATAGGAGCAATGGCCTCGTGTTGGCTGTCAGAGGCTGAATAAAGTGTGGAGGACATCTACATACAGGGGGAGCCCAACAAAGGGTGTCAGAACCTACAAAGATATCCACCCAGGGAAGAGAGTTGCCAAAGAGATAGAAGACTGTCTGCATACAGAGTGATTTTAAATAAATAAAATAAAGATACGGAAGCCCCAGCTCTCCCACTGTGTGAGAAGTACAAATATAAAAAAGAGAGAACATCAGAATGAACCCTGTGGTGATAGATTAGAATTTAAGGTACTGGTGTGAACTGATGGTTTTCAATATACAGAAGTACAGATGTGAATGTGGATGCAAGTAAGTGTGTATGCATACATACATACATACAGACATACCCTAAGCTCTGGCCACTGACAGTGCCTGGGAGCAACAATACTCCAAGAGCAATGAGTGTACCTGAAGCAAACCTTGGCTTCTAGAAACCATTCTCCTCTAAAAGGAACCAAGCTCCTTAGAGAGCTGGACAATTCTAGCATTGAGGAAGGGGAGGTATCAATATAATAACAGTCTGATAGATCAGATCTGTTATGCCAGAAAGAATGGAAATGCCCAAGTATTGACAGGGACGTGGCACAATGATAAGAGAAGTCAGCTTGCAAGGTGTCCCACTGACCACTCAGGGACAACTTAAACACAAGAATAAATAATGGTACTAATGGATTAAAATCACCGAATAAAATGGTACCTGAGCCCATAGGGACAAATTAAGTTAAAAATATATTTAGGGACTTCCCTGGCATTTCTGCTTTATTGACTATGCCAAAGCCTTTGACTGTGTAGATCACAATATACTGTGAAAAATTCTGAAAGAGATGGGAATACCAGACCACCTGACCTACCTCTTGAGAAACCTGTATGCAGGTCAGGAAGCAACAGTTAGAACTGGACATGGAACAACAGACTGGTTCCAAATAGGAAAAAGTACATCAAGGCTGTATATTGTCACCCTGCTTATTTAACTTATATGCAGAGTACATCATGAGAAATGCTGGGCTGGAGGAAGCACAAGCTGGAATCAAGATTGCTGGGAGAAATATCAATAACCTCAGATATGCAGATGACACCACCCTTATAGCAGAGAGGGAAGAGGAACTAAAGAGCCTCTTGATGAAAGTGAAAGAGGAGAGTGAAAAAGTTGGCTTAAAGCTCAGCATTCAGAAAACTAAGATCATGGCATCTGGTCCCATCACTTCATGGCAAATAGATGGGGAGACAGTGGAAACAGTGTCAGACTCCAAAATCACTGCAGATGGTGACTGAAATTAAAAGACGCTTACTCCTTGGAAGGAAAGTTATGACCAACCTAGATAGCATATTAAAAAGCAGAGACATTACTTTGCCAACAAAGGTCCGTCTGGTCAAGGCTATGGTTTCTCAAAGTGGTCATGTATGGATGTGAGAGTTGGACTGTGAAGAAAGCTGAGCACCGAAGAATTGATGCTTTTGAACTGTGGTGTTGGAGAAGACTCTTGAGAGTTCCTTGGACTACAAGGAGATACAACCAGTCCATCCTAAAGGAGATCAGTCCTGGGTGTTCATTGGAAGGACTGATGCTGAAGCTGAAACTCCAGTACTTTGGCCACCTCATGTGAAGAGTTGACTCACTGGAAAAGACCCTGATGCTGGGAGGATTGGGGGCAGAAGGAGAAGGGGGCGACAGAGGATGAGATGGCTGGATCGCATCACCAACTCGATGGGCATGAGTTTGAGTGAACTCCGGGAGTTGGTGATGGACAGGGAGGCCTGGTGTGCTGTGATTTATGGGGTCTCAAAGAGTCGGACACAACTGAGCGACTGAACTGAACTGAACTGGCAGTCCAGTGGTTAACACTCTGTGCTTCCAATACAAGGGGAACGGGTTCAAACCTTGGTCAGAGAACTAAGAGCCCACATGGCAAAATAAATAAATAAAATAAAAGATCATCACAGACCACTCATGCTTTTAAAAAATACATACACATATTAAAATATATTTAAAGTTTAATGAGGAATAAGATATTCACATATTTTCAAGGTAACACCTTATAAAATATTAATTCTAAAGGAGAAAGTAACTTTGCAGTGGAGCAGCCTAGCAGACACCACCTTAACCAAGTGATCATGAACACTGTCAGTAAAGACACAGATTGGAATTGTGCGCTGCATGTTAGGATACACTGAGAATACAGCATTATTCTTCTGTATACTTCCCACCAAACAAGCATAATCTGCACCTACTTATGAGGAAACTTCAAATGTATCTAAATTTAGGGATATACTACAAAGTAAGTGGTATAAAATCTTCAGAAGTGTTGAAGTCACAGAAGTTAAAAAATAAATTTTAAAAAATTTAAAAGTTGAAGGATTTCTTTCAGAATTAGAGGTTAAAGAGACAAGATAATGTGACATAATTCTAAACAACCGTGTGCTATGAAAAGAATAATTGGGGCTTCCCTGGTGGCTCAATGGTAAAGAATCTGCCTACCAAAGCAGGAGACATGGGTCTGACTCCTGATCCAGGAACCCGCACGTCACTGAGCAGCTAAGCCCATGTGCCCAACAGCCTGTGCTCTGCAACGAGAGAAGCCACAGCAACGAGAAGCTGCACAGTGCAGCTACAGAACAGCCCGCTCTTGTCACAACTAGAGAAGGCCTGCACAGCAATAAGACCCTGCACAACCAAAAAATAAATTAATTTTTTTTAAAAAGGACAATGGGTGAAACTCTTGAGTGTTAGATGGTAGTACTATCATTGCCATTAATTTCTTGATTCTGATGGTTATATACATGACACTGGACAACACTTTTTCTTTAGGAAACACACACTAAAGTATTTTGGAGTGGTGAGGCATCAGGTTGATAACTTACTCTTAAATAGTTCAAGAAAAAAAATTCTCTGTACGAGCAAGTTTTCAATAAAACTTTGCGATTATTTCAGATTATTTAGAATAACATTTATCAAAAAGATAAGAAATAACAAATGTTGGTGAGGGATGTGGAGAACACGGAACACTTCAGCACTGCTGGAAATGTAAATCAGTGCATTCACTATGGAAAACAGTAAGCAGGATTCTCAAAAAATTAACAGTAGAAATATCATGTGATCCAGCAGCTTCCCCTCTGGGTATTTATCCAAGGAATATAAAAACATTAATTCAAAAAGATATAGGTACCATTATATCATGATCATTGCAGCATTATTTACAATAGCCAAGATCTAGGTACCCCCATCAACAAATGAATGGATAAAGAAGATGTGGTATATATTCAGAATGGAATTAAGCCATCAAAAGAATGAAATCCTACCATTTGTGACAACTTGAATGGACCTTGAGGGCGTTATGCTAAATGAAACAAGTCAGAGAGAGAGAAATGCCACAGGACTCCA